TTTTTTTTTTTTTTTTTTTTTAAAGATATTTCTGCTTAGGGAAAAAGATCATTGTTTGTAGTACACATGCAATGAAGTGGGCAAACTCAGCTCCATGACCCTGGCCAATGGTCAGATTTTCTATAATATCTATTCTGTGTGCTCAGACTGGCTGAGCTAGATAAAACTTATCTTTCTTTGGTTCTGTGTTTTTTACTGACTGACTAACTTCACCTTTTGGGGAAAAAAAGATTCTTTCCTTTTACAGGGGACATATGCACTTAAACTCACTAATAGCATTTTTTGCTTTTTGTTCACTTCCAGGAAAATATTGTTCAGTAAGCCTTCCCTGGGAATGTGTCTTCACGTGCAACCTGTTGGGAGCAGCTCAGTACAGGGCTCCTCCTGGCCTACTCTGCCCCCCTGCAGCAGCCAGGGGGAGCTCCAGGCTCCACCAGGGTGCTAGCTTGGGGGATGGTGGGAGGCATGGGGGCCAGTCCTATTAGGTCTGGGGCCAGGAGAGCTCTGCCGGCTGCAGTGGCAGCTGTCTCCTGGCCTCGTGCACATTGGGAGGGGTCCTGATGTGCATGGGGCCGTGCATCTTGCATGTGCACATTGGGGGACACAGCTGCCAGTGAGCCTGGTGCCCAGTGCCCACTAGTGTCCAGTGGGGTTTCCCCACCCAGCAGAGGGCTCGTTGACAGCTGCCCCATAAACAGGACAGCTGTTGGTGAGCTCCTGGCTGAGCAGGGAAGCGAGAGCTCTCCAGTCCCAGTGCTGCTTGGGTTTCTCCTGTGAGGGGCTGGAGCCACACAGCGATGGGATGGGAGATAAGGGGGGAGCAGAGAGGTACCCCGTCTCAATGCTGATTGGCTCCCGGCTCCAGGGGAGAGCCAGGAGCTGAGCAGAACCAGGACCAGGGACAGAGAACTTCCCCATCCTCTGTGGCCCTCTTCTGGTGGGGCTGACCTGGAGCAAATGTGGTCCTGGTCAGCGTGTACACGAGCACTACTGCACAATAACAAGTGCACAGTTAATTTAGTAACTGTATTTACAGGTGCTAGCTAACTGCTCTGTAGACTAATTTATTGCACAGTAAATGCCCCACATGTGTAAATGTCTTGTGTAGATGCACCCGCTGATGACTTCATTGTGCACTGATGTCTGCTGAAAGCACTGGTTATGCATGCATTTGAGGATGAGTGCAGTCGGACCAGTGTATATGGAGCCAGGATGCTCCTGAGTTTTCATCACAGTTCTGATACCGACTTCTCTGGTCATGGAGAAACTACTTAATTCATCTTGCATTGCTTTTTCTGTCTTAGACTGAATGTCTTCCTCTTTGATCTTAAATGTTTTTGTTAATATGAAGAAATGACCATTGCTGTCTTTTAATTAATATGAAGCCTTCCAATTAAGTTGTTTCACTTGTTTTGTTTCTGTAGGATAAGCTCTTCAATGCTAGTATTCCTTCTTTGGGCTTACGCAATGTCATATACATCAATGAAACACACACAAGGTAAGTAACCAGCTGTCTCCATTTTAATTCATGGCATTTTCTTTTTCTTTAAATGTTACAGCATAAGCCACTCAAGATGTCCATAGGTGTAGTGGACAGCCATTTAAATCCTGTAAATGGCACTGACCATGTGACAGATACCATTGGTTTTGATATCAAAGACACTGTTTAAGCTGATTTGAAGTGTGTCTGCTAATTTGTGTGGGAGCAGCCTCTTTTCAGGTTTTGGTATCTCCTTAATGCTCCTTATGTTTTCACGTCTTGCCTTTAATAGCAGCTGTGAAATAGGCCATGGCTAGTTTCAGGGCTTCTAATAGCACAGTGTCTGACAGTAGTCGGCATAAGCAAGAGGTATCAGTCAACCAGCCCGCATGTTGCGCAAACCTGCTCTGTGTGGGATAGGATGCCCTGTGCTTTGGATCTCTTGTCATGAAAATCTTGAAGCAGGATTAGACAACCTCCTGAGGGATTCCTTGAGACCATGATAAGCAGGAATCATTCTGACTTTATAGCAACAAAAAATGCCATTTTGGCAAACTGTG